TAGAATGATTTCTGAAAGATCATGTGACACTGAAGACTGGAGTAATGATGCTGAAAATTCAGCTGTGATCACAGCAATCAATTACATTTTATATATGTACATATATATATGTATATATGTGTGTGACACACACACGCACGCATTTGTATTTATACTTTATGTATGTAGATTTTTATAGTTATAATAAAAAAATTAAGTAATTTAATTATTTTATATTTAATTTTAATTATTTTAAATATGTGTGTGTATACATACATATATACAGATACACGTGTATTTATACTAATATGTATATTTTTAGAAATATATAATTAACATGTTATAAAATTATATACAAATTATAAATATATAAAAGTATAATATAAATGTATTTATATGTAAGTGTGTGTGTGTGTGTGTGTGTGTGTGTGTGTGTGTGTGAGAGAGAGAGACCAACGGTGTCAGTGTTTGGAATCAGAATTCTGATTCTGATTCAACAGTGATATTAAATATATTCCCAATTATCAATGTGCCACATGAGTTTTTTTTTTCTTTCCCCACTGTTTAATGTTAGACGTGATAATCATTCTTATTTGAAATGCGCGAAAATTAAACGAGGTCAAGATCTCCGCAGGTCGTGCCGCTGTCACACGTTCGTGGGCTTCACACGGAGCGTGTAAACTGCGCATGCTCCATGACCTTGCGATTAAACCACACCCGCTTGATGTCGTCAGACCTGAAACACCCAGGCTGTGTCCGAAATCGCCCCCTATACCCTTAAATAGGGCACTATTTGAGGGAACAGCCATTTTTAGTGGTGTCCGAAACCATAGACGTTCTCGAGTGCACTCATTCAATCCCACAATGCACTGCAAAAACGAGTGTACAACTGGTGCACGCTCAACGGCTAGAGAATGCCCATAATGCACCGTGAGAGTCACGCGCCGAATTAATTCCCGCATCTCGCCAAAAGATGGCGCCCGCAGCTGAATACCGTATTGGCCCGAATATAAGACGGCCCCCCCCCTTTTTCCAGATGTACCTTTTGGAAAAAGGATTTTTAAAAACCAAATCTTGTTTTTTCTCAGTAAAACACATTTTGTCTTCAATTATTACTATTATTCAATAATACACTTTTTGATATACCATTAAAAAAAAAAACATGTATTAGGACATTTAGGCTATCCATCTAATAGTAGCCTACCAAAATCTTATTAACAGAAGTTAAATCTTACTGTAGTCTTCAAATCTTTCATTCACTCCTTCTAGTGAACTGAATTGGTGACCTAATGTAGGGAATAGTGAATGAGGGTATAGGGGGCGATTTCGGACAGAGCCCCAGTATTTAATCTGTGCCCAAAAGTAAATCGCTCATAACTCCTAAACCGCTTGTGCAAACTCAAGTGTCTTATATCATGGGAATCCCTGACTCAAGACGAATAAAACGCATGATTCTAGGAAATTTCGACTGTTTTGGATTTTTTTTTCGTCCGGTCGGAACCAAACCAGTGCAGAAAATTTATCTGGATAGTGAATATCAATAATTATCAATTAAAGTATAGTTTTCGACTCACCATAAATGCTCAAAAGAGGCTGGGACACTTTTCCTAAAACGGCTCTAACTTTTCAACGGAATGAGATATTTACACCAAACTCGATACACATATGTAAGACCTAAATCTGAGGTTACATGAGAAAAATCGCAGAGTTTGGCCACTATAATAGGAAAAAAACATACAAATGGCTACGCATCTGTTTTTCAGACTGACTTGAAAATTCACATGCAATGTCTGTGTCCAAAGTGCCAAGGCTCTCTATTCATGTATCTCAAAAAAACATGGCCGCCATCAGCCAATGAAGTTTGAGCACCTATTAGATGAGGTTAAGGGAGGCCGCCGGAACGAACCTTGGTGGGCCTGTTTGATTCATGGCCCTAAAGCTCTGTGAGAAATTTGAAAGAAATCGGCCACTGGGGGGCGACAACGCATTTTTCAAGTGTGTAATTGCATGATTTTTCACACATACACACAATATTCATATCATATGATAGATCTCGTCATTCTGAACAACTTTGCCTCAAGAACCAATGCTGTCAATCAAATTGTCCGTTAATTAATCAAGATTATTTAAAAAAACCTACTTCTGCAAACTAGTCCAAGGTTTTTGTTTTTTTTTTGCTTAACTTCAAGAAAACCGCTGCAGGACAATTCTCTCGACTCTCTGGGTCAATAATTATGTTAAAAATGTTGAACTTTACACTTTGGTTAGCTGTAACAGGGTAATTTAGAAAATGGGTATGGCTAAATATAACCAAAAGCATATAATTCCT